TTATGATTTAGTGGATTTGACGCTTATGTGATCGTCCCCCAGACGTAGATACACACTGTATCGAACTGGGTAAACATTCTGTGTCGTTGGCTTTATGCTGTTATCCTTTCTTTAAACCTCTTTATGATTTGTTATTACTGACTGACTTCATCGCTGAATCAGTCAGTCCATTCCGTCAGTTGATTAATCCAGTTAATTGGTTTAAAAAGAGAAAATGTAAAATTACAATATATATATATATATATATATATATATATATATATATATATATATAGAGGGAGGGGTTCAAGTGAAAAAGAAGCCGCAGGTGAAACGTGTAGGTGTATCTCAGCCATTCATCAACTCATCTTAAAAAAAAAAAAAAAAAAAAACCGCCACATGCGACCCACAACAATGTGCTCTGTAAGGCAAAAATGTGCACTGTAAAGCACAAAAATATGCAACAATTATTGAAAAGACTAAATTTAATGCATTACCTTCTAACACAAATCGTAAAAGATCACAATATTCAACTAAAATTAATAATTAGTGATTTATTCAAGATCAAATGCTCTTTAAATAAATAAATAAATACGTAGTATGTGTGTGTGTATATATATATATATATATATATATATATATATATATATATAACTCTTAAGGTGCGTTGTTCTAATACTTAAGGTGCGTGCTTCTATCACTTAATGTGCGTCAATTTTAGCTCCTTTCTTCCAGACACACGTTTTTTTTTTTTTTTTAAATTTTCATTGATTTGAGCTGTCAACCGCACAACTGCACGGGAAGCTTTTACCGCACCTGATCCTTCTATTATACTCTGTCCATTATACTACGTCCTTTCCCCAATTCCCCCTCTGAAGTTTGGTATGGCTTCAGCTTCTCAGGCCAGTCTTTTTAATGAATTTTTGAAGTTTTCTTCAACTGTCTTTATACCTTAAATTCCTTAAAAGATCGATAATTTCTTCTTCTCCCTCTCTTTCCAGATCTTAGTAAAACGCTTGTTGATGGATTTTCAGCTGGTTTAGTTGATGAAAGCAATCTTTTCGAATGGAGCATTACAGTTCTTGGGGAATGCTAGGTTTCGCAGTCGCAAGGAACTCTCAGTTTCACAGTCAAAGTAATTTCTCAGTTGCTGGAGTAAAGGAGACCAAGGGAGAGAGAAGACTTAAAATGTGAATTTATCCTTACCTAACGGAGGACAATATTGAGCAATAACACACAAGTCTAGGATTACTTTACGACACTAAAGTCGTTTAGGACAAAATTGAGAAAACCATTATAGCTGAAGACAATTTTGGGTATTAACTCTAAAATAATTATTGAAAAGACTAAATTTAATGCATAATCTTTAACACGAATCATATAAACGATCACAATATTCAACTAAAAGTAGTAATTAATGATTCATTCAAAATTAAATGATTTTTAAAAGGGAAAATGACACTTTTTCCCCCTAAGTTATATACTTATAGCACTGTTTCCCCCTCAATTATTTATGTAAGCACATTAGCTCACTCAATTATTTTAAAAGTGGTGGTTTTTCCCCCAAATATATTAAATTGACATTTCTACCCTTAAAGTAAACATTTTATTTATTTTACTTCTCCAACAAATTATTGCGTATATGTAGCGATTACCACGGTCGAAATGAACCAAACACTATAGCAATCGAATTAAAAGTTTTCTGTTATGATTCAGATCTAGAACCCAATATTTGGATTTCAATTTATTAAATTAAGAATTAAAAAAAAAAAAAAAAAACTGAATCATGAACCGTGAACTGGTGGTTCCGGATCCAGTTCGCGATTTTAAACTGTCTTTATTTTTTAATTTTATTTTTTATTTTAAAATAGTCTAAATTCAACAATAAATGTATTTTATTTTTTCAGTTCGGAACATGAACCGGTCATTCCGGTTCGCGATTTTAATAAAATCTAAATATCGCGTTTTTATTATAAATTGTAATTGGAATATTTTGGTTTTGTTGCTATAGTATCTGTTTTGTTTGAACCAAATTATAATAATAATTTGTTGGAGAATAAAAATAAATGAAATATTTATTTTAAGGGTAAATATGTCGATCAAACATTTCAAGGGGAAAAAGAGCCACTTAAATAATTGAGGGAGAAAAAGTGCTATAAGTATATAACTTAGGGGGAAAAAGTGTCATTTTCCCTTTTTAAAATTATTAATTATATATATATAACACTTACGAACTTAAAGGTTGAAGGCACAACAATGTGCTCTGGATGAAGGAACAATGTGCACTAGAAGGCCTAGAAGAAAAAAAATTAACTAACTTAAACAAAATTACAATAATGTCACCGCGTTTTTTTTATAAATTGCTTCATTCTAGACATAGATTTGATCTGAATCAATGGATGAGATTACATCCTATTTTTCACCAAATGTTTTTTTTTTTTTTTTTTTTTTTTTTTTTCACTTGATCATATATATGAACTTTTTGCCCAAACAAAGAAGAGTGTGTAGTTGTGTCCCTCACGAGTCACCACTTTCCTTTTGCACTAGGTATTTCAGGTGATTAGCAAAACAAAATCTGGCCATAAACAAAGTAACAAACTGCACCTCTTAAAATGTCTTGCATGGTAGAGTAAAAGCTGAAAACACATTACAAAATCAATAAACCATTTCATGCATGTATAAATTTTCTTTCATGTATTCATTCCAATTTTCAGAAGATGTGGAAATGCATGATGATTCGTCGATACATGGCTGCCCAGATCCTATATGTATAACAAGTAACACATGGAATGAAATTCCCATGGAGATGGATCAAGAGGAGTACCACCCAGAGTGAAGGAGACATACCTATATATGGAAGGCAAGTCATGAATCACCCCTTGAACAGCCTCTTATCAATTGAAACCTGCAAATATATAGTCTTGAAGCTTTTTCCCTATCATCAGATCAAAATAGAGGATGCAAAACAACCATAAAATTAATTCAATAGGACAGATAAAATGAAAGAGACATACGATTTTCCAGATATTTTAAATGGTAAGGAAAGCAAAAAGAGATTTTTAGCCCTACCACGTCCATGTTGAGGATATGTTCAACATAAGGGTTCAGCACCAGATTTCTTATACTCCATACAATTTCATGCAATGAATCATCTGTTCCTTCCCATTATCATGTTCAACCGTTGAATATCCTAAATGAAATAATCATGTCAGTTGTCAAAATACGAATTCAGGATACAATGGCCAAACGAAATGCTAAACAACTACTAATTAACATAACAACAAGCAAGTTACCTCCAACTATATCTAGAAAAGAAAAGTCGGGCATTCTCCCCCATCAAACTTGGAAAATTCTCAAAATTTAGAGCTTAGGGCGAAACTGTGAGATTCTCCAGCATTATCTCTTTGCCAAAAGCTGAAAACATAATATGATACAAAAATAATGTGATGTATGCCTGTGAGCCTGTCACAGAAACTAGCCAACAAAGGTTGGAACTTGGAACAAATAGAATGGAGAACATTATTTACCAAAAAATATATATTGTAACTTGAAATAAAATAATGAGATGTAACCCTAGAAATATCGGTAGTGCCTACCTTGAAGTGAATCATTGAGAGCATTATCCATGATTGTCATATTTACTGAGACACCATAGGCTTCTATTGCTATGAATGACCACTGGTTCAGGTTAAAGGAATTTAGTTGGGTTGGAGCCTTGTGAAAAGAGCAATAGGTGGGAGAACCGAGAACTCCATCCAAATGGGGATCTAACAATAGTTCAGCTCCAGAGTAGTTAGACCATAATGTGACTATCCAATGTCAGGGGGTAATGAAACCAAAAAGAAAAGCCTTCAATTGCTGACAAAATCAGCTTCACTCCCACTTAATGAAAAACAAATTCCCACACCACAACTCCTTGTGTTGACCAATCGCCATCTTCTAACATGATGGCGTAGCCAAACGTACGAACATCTCATGCCACAATCAATTATTGTAACAGGATTTTCAATTAGATAAAGTTTATTATGGATAGATAGAATTAACCATGCTGTAGGCTGGTTCTTTCTTTACACTATTTCTCTCCCTCCTCATCTTGATCTCATTGGCATTATCCAATCTTCCAGCTTCGATATACATATTGTATAGTAATATATAAGGGCCAGAGTTTTCCGGTTCAAGCTGTGCACTCTGCAAGCACTCAATAATGCTCCCTAGACAACCTTATCTGGTTGCACGGGCATACTTTTTACTATGTCCATGGCCTCTTCAATTCGTCCATGACGACCTACAATATCCACAAGAGAGGCAAAATGCTCCAGTCCTGGTTTGATACCAAATTCATCAACCATGGATTTAAAGTGGAAACGACCTTCCTCCACCTGACCTGCATGAGCATATGCAGAAAGAACTGCAATAAATGTGATATAGGCAGTTTCATTTTAAGTTCCTTCATTCTGTCAAAAAGTTCAAATGCTTCTGTAGCCAATCCATGGGATGCATACTCTCCAATCATTGCATTCCAAGAGATTAAATCTTTGCAAAATTTCATCCTGTCAAAAATGGATCTTGCTTCCATTATAGCCCCACATCTGGCATACATAGTAATAAGGGAGTTGTTTAGCAGTACATCAGGAATGACAGTCTTTGTTACCAACTGATGAATCTGCATACCAAGACACAGCTACAGTTTCTGCACAAATGCCTAGAAGCGAAGATAACGTGTGCCGATCAGGTTTTTCTCCTGCCAATTGCATATGAATAAAAAGTCTTATAGCTCCTTTGTAGTCTGCATTTCTCTCATATGCTGCTATCATGAATTCCAGGAGACACGATTCTTCTGGGGCATTCTTTGGAAAAAGTCACAAGCAAGTTCCAACTTGCCTTCCTGTACATACCCTGAGATTATCGTATTCCACGAAAATGCATCTGGATTTGGCATCATAGAAAAGAGATTTGAACCATCTTCCATATTTAATTTGAGAAATGGACATAACCACTTATCATTGTGTTCCAGGAAAAAGTGTCTTTTTCAACCGTTAGATCAAAAAGCTCCCTAGCAGAAACCATATTCCCAGCCTTTACATAACACATTATCATTGAATTCCATGATACTACATTCCTTTCAAATTTCCTACACTGTCCTGTACCCTTATCAGTAGAAAATGGAATTTGATCGAAAAGATGGCGAACATCATCAATCCTTCCTTTCACCATACCCAGCAATCAAGGTGTTAAAAGCATAAACAAGATCACTGCTTTTATTACCACTTTTCAGAAAATCAAACAGTACATTTGCAGCAATATCCAATTTGTCATTCTGGATCAACCCTAACACAAGCACACAAAGAGAAGTTGCATCTCGCTTTGGCATTCTCTTGAAAAATTCCATAGCATTCTTCACCTCACCATTCTGCAAAAGCCCAGAAATGACTGCATTCCAAGATACTACATTCTTCTCGGGTATACAATCAAAAAGTTTCAACGCTTCATCTATTTTCACAATCTTGGCATACCCACTGATCATTGTGTTCCAAGAAATGATATCTCTCATGGGCATTCGATCAAACAAATATCTTCCATATTCTATATATGCATTCCCCCTACAAGACATGTAACCAGAAATCATCAAATTCCTCGAGACAACGTCTCGCTCAGGCATTTCATCGAACAAGTCCTGAGCTTTCGCCATTTCCCGACGTTGGATGTATCCTGTGAGCATCGAATTCCACGTTACAATGTTTCTATGCCTCAACTTACCAAACAAAAATCTTGCATCTTTAAGTCGGCCGATCCGGATTAGCTCAGTGATTTTCTTGTTTGCTAGCTAGAGCTCCGGTGGATCCCGAGAAACCCTGGGCTTCAAGGTTGAGAAATAATTCACCAGTTGGCATGTTTGTTTCTTGGCAATGTATGCTCCACTTGCACGTTTATGGCAATTTGATTGCCGGTTGTGCCTTAATGCCATTAGAAGGCATCTATAACTGCTCAAATTTCTAGAGCTGACCGTCATTTTGTGAGATGCACGAAAAAATTTGTCCCGTGCGATGCACGAAAAATATGTTATAAAAATATATCCTATATGAGATTTATTCATATATAAAATTTTTGTTATTTAATAATTATTATGTATGAATTCCTATGATAAAATTATGAAGATAAATATATTTACAATTACAATAATATTTAAGGTGGGTGATTACTACAAATCTAAAACTATATATATATATATATATATATATATATATATATATATATATATTATTTAGTTATTTATAAAGAATAATGATTATTCAGGGACGGGGATACTAATAATAATAATAATAAGAAGAGTAAATACTCAAAATGGTCCCTCGACTATAGCTAAATTCACAAATTGGTCATCGACTTTCAATTTCAACCAATTAAGTCCTTAACTTTGCAATTTTAACACAATTTGGTCCTCTGTCTATTTGACCGTTTGTTGACTGTGATTTTTGAGGATATATATGTAATTTCATGGCCCATCGTCGGGTTTTTAAGGTTCGGGTTGCATTTCCAGACCGCACTGTTACATTTGAATCCACTGCCGAAAGCAATCTACCAAATCCGGTCGCCTTTCTTCATCCTCCCTTTGGATTCAATGTAGTTGAGTTCGTACCAGAGTGATTAAGACGACTTGTTTCCGAACCAGTACAACGTCATCCTGGAGGCCTCCACGTGCTCCGACGAGAGCTGAAGGTTCTTCTGGAGATCGTCGATCACGGTCAACAAATGGTCAAATAGATTGATGACCAAATCGTGTCAAAATTACAAATTTAAGGACTTAATTGGTTGAAATTAAAAGTCGAGGACAAATTTGTGAATTTAGCTATAGTCGATGGACCATTTTAGGTATTTACTCTAATAATAATAATAATAATGATTGTTTTAAAAAATAAAAAATATAATTAAGCCAATCATATTAACTACTTGGGGAATTTATTGACAAAAATAGTATTCAAATCACACAACAAATTGAAGTATGAAATTATCTCGCAATGTCCTTGTTTGGCAATCAGCAATTAGTTCTTCAATATTAGTATATATTTAATATTTTATGCCCAAATTTTTATTTGCTCTACATTATGTCCCGTATTTGGTTTCAACCATACCTATACAATTATTTTATTGACAATTATAATCAATCTTGACTATATTATCTTACATTTGTAAACTTAGAATTGCCTAATTAAATACGCAAATTTAACATTCAATTATCTATGCATCAACAATTCCAATATAATCTTGCATTGATATACTTTAAAGTACTTATTTAAAAAAAAAATATTGGGCATTATCTCAATCGCGTAATGCGTGTAAATCTCAATCGCGTAATGTGCGTAAAAAACTAGTATATTTAAATAAGAGAGGAATGGTTATATATCTAGTTTTGTTTGGGCATTTCCTCCTGCAAGAAGAAGAAGCCATCAAGGAAATTCAAAGCTGTAAAATCACCATCTTTCCTTTCTAGACCAATCACTCATTTCTTATTCCCCTCTTTCTATTCTTCTTCATTCACTTCCTATGCTTATGTATGTATGAATGTTGTGTATATGTGTACGATATATGTGTATTATGATCTTGATTGGGGTATTAGGAGGTGGAGAGGAGGGCATAGTTGAAGGAAGAGGAGGGATACATATTAGCACATACAATAAGCACTCAAACAGAAGGCAGTTAACACTGTTGCAAGAAGGCAGTTATCACTGTTGAAGAAGATCAGTTAATACAGTTAGTCAGTTAGCTTTGTATTGGTTAAGTCCTCTTTGTATATAAGCCTAAAGGCATGTAATCAGAATAGTGTGAGATAATGTTGAATTCACTTACTCTTCTTTCTTTCTTGCTTCCTTTCAATCCTTCGCATAGCTTAACATGGTATCAGAGCCCTTGAGGCTATGGCTTGGCGCACACCCGTTGTGAACATGGCAACCAGTTCAATCAACACGAACCCTGTACCTGCCCCTCCTCCAGTTCCCACCAGTTATGACCCCAAAGACATAATCGATCCTCTTCATCTCCACCCGAATGAGAGTCCTTCATTGCAGCTTGTGTCTGCGCAATTGGAAGGAAGATCCAATTACCATCCATGGGCTAGAGCCATGGAGATGGCCTTGAGATCGAAGAATAAGATGGTCTTTGTGGATGGCACCATGGCGATTCCCAACAGAACTGATCCTCGTTACTTCTATTGGGATCAATGCAACACCATGGTTTTATCTTGGATTCTAAGAGCTGTCTCACCCACTATTGGAAGAAGTGTGCTCTGGATCAACACGGCAGAAGGGATCTGGAAGGACCTGAAGAAGCGATTTAGTCAACAGGATGTCTTCCGTATCGCTGAGATACAGTTCGAAATATACCAGATCAAGCAAGGTAATTCATCCGTCAATGAATACTTTACTCAATTAAAGCTTCTTTGGGATGAATTATCTGTTCTGAGGCCAACGCCATCTTGTGAGTGTTCGCCAAGATGTCAATGCGGAAAAGCTCTGTCTGAAAAGGTTAGGGATTATCTGGAGAATGACATGCTGTCGTCCTTCCTAATTGGATTGAGTGAGAAGTTCTCCAACACCAAACACCAAATAATGCTTATGAAACCCTTGCCCGACATTGGTGAAGCTTTTGCCATGGTTTCCCAACAAGAGAGACAGACAGCTGATGATTCTAGGAGTTTGGGAGAAAATCTGATAGGAACGAGTGCCTTCCTAGTTGATAATTCCAGCAAAAGGTCTTTCCCTGCTCAAAAACAAAAACCAGTGTGCAGTTATTGTGGCTATACTGGGCACACTATCGATAAATGTTACAAGAAACATGGGTATCCACCCGGTTGGGAGCCAAGAAACAAGAATTCAGTGGCTGCTAATCAAGTTCAGACAGTGGTGCAAGATGAAGGCAGTTCCCAGAATATTCCCCAGGCTCATCAAGATGATTTTAGGAGGTTTTTAGAGTTCATGCAATATGAGAAGGCTAACACTTCCCCTCTCAGCTTCACTCCACAAGCTAATGCAATAGCTGCAAATTTTATCCCAGATAGCAGGCTGGAAGGTAAGGTTGTTAATCTTAGTTGCAATCTGACAAAACCTAATCCATTATGGATAATTGACAGTGGAGCCACACACCATATTGTGTGCAATGTGAATCTGCTACAAAACCCCAAGGAAGTTAAGGGAATTCTTGTTGATTTGCCCAATGGAAGTCAGGCACCAGTTTCCCATATTGGGACTGCTCAACTGTCTGCAGATATTATCCTGATGAATGTGCTGTGTGTACCTATCTTTAATTACAACTTGATATCATTGGGAGAGCTAACAGCTAGATCAGGCTACCACATATTATTCCACTCTAATCAGTGTGTTATACATGATCAGCACCATGGGAAGATGATTGGTATGGCTGAGTTGAAGAGAGGGCTCTACCAGCTTGTTTTTCCTGTTATAAATCCTTGTATGCCTACTGTTAATGCTTGTAGCTTCTGGCATGCTAGATTAGGGCACCCTTCTAAAAACAAAGTTAGATTGTTACATACTCTAGACAGTAACATTTGTAATGACAAGCCTAGTGCCTGTGAATTTTGTCATTTTGCAAAGCAAAGGAGACTCCCATTTCAATCCAGTTCTTCTGTTTCAGCAAATTGTTTTGATCTTGTGCATGTGGATATATGGGGACCATATCACACTCCCACTGTCTATGGTCATCAATACTTTCTAACCTTGGTAGATGATCACAGTAGGGCAACTTGGATATATCTAATAAGAAGGAAAACAGAAGTTAGGCAGATTCTACAGACATTTTATGAGCTAATCAAAAATCAGTTTGGGAGAAGCATCAAATGCATTAGGTCTGATAATGGGAAAGAGTTTGCTATGGATGATTTCTTTAAAAGTAAAGGTATTATACACCAAATGTCTTGTGTATATACCCCCCAACAAAACAGTACAGTAGAAAGGAAGCATGGACACATTCGAGCTGTGGCAAGGTCCTTAAAATTTCAAGCAAACTTACCTGAGAATCTTTGGGGAGATTGCATTCTTCATGCTGTTTATTTGATCAACAGGCTTCCATCAGCAGTCATAGGGAACAAAATACCATATCAGGTCTTGTTCAACAAAGCACCCCAATATCATCATCTTAAAGTGATGGGGTGTTTAGCTTTTGCTGCCATTCCCAGTTGCAAAAGAGACAAAATGTCCCCAAGAGCTAAGAAGTGCTTATTTTTGGGTTTTGCCATTGGAGTGAAGGGATACAAACTTCTTGATTTGCAGACAAGGGAGATATTCCTATCCAGGGATGTTTATTTCTATGAAGATATATTCCCATTTAAAGAGGTACATAAACCAGTCTCTAATGACATTATATTGCCTTCTGAGCAGACAGCTATTTTGGAAACTGATGATTCTACCTTCCCTGGTTCCTTGGATGAACATCCCTCTCAAACGCCAACTAATGAGCACCCTGGTCCCAGTGAGGAGTCCCAACCTCAGTCTCTTCCAGTAGACCATGGCCTGGCAACAATTACAGAAGCTACACACACCTCACAACCTAGAAGATCAAACAGAACAAGGGTC